TAGGAATATTTGGAATCAGTTTATCTTATTTATCAATATGTTTCTATTAAAGCCATAATACCACTCTTTGCAATAATGACTAGTAGTTAATAAAATAACATAACGTGAAACAAAACCTTTTTTTAAAAAAATTGAGCATTGCAAAAAGTTTTTTCTCCTTGTTTTAGGGGATTTACAGGAGGCCAGAAGAAAGAAGAAGTGAGACAGGATAAGGAAGATGTGATCAACATCTTTTCAGTGGCATCGGGGCATCTATATGAGAGATTTCTTCGGTAGGTCTAGAATTAATTTTACTCAAATTGTAAAATGCTGCTTATATATGGACATTTGCAGGATTTTTTTGTTTTCTTCATTTATTAGGTTTTGGAGTTTATTTTACCCAAGATTCATTCTGATAAATAAGAGAATAATTTTACAATTATGGATTAATACCATTGTAGAATAGTAAGGGACAACCTGGACAAGATCCAGAGGAAAAAATCCACAGCATCCATAGAAAGATTGTTGTACAGATGTTACCATCAAAATGTTTTTCCTTATATTTAAATGAAACCTATATATCTGCAATGTATACCTCTTCATTTCGACTCCTAATTTCTAGTTTCAGTGGCAGTGGAAAATTGCTTCTCACCATTTTCCCTGTGGCACCCTTTTAAACCTTGAGTCTTTGGAGAAAGGCGGCATACAAATTGAACAAATAAATAAGAACTGAAACAACAATATCATGACATATAGGTTTTATTTTAGTATGATCCATATCAACATTGGCTTTTCCTGTTTCCTTAGTACTAAGGCTACACTTTTTCCTGGTTTAACAGTTTTGTGCTTACACTTGAATGAGGATTTATTCAAGAGTATTAAGATATTAATACTACACTCACTCATGAGCTTTTGTTAGGTGGTGATGAGAGACTTTAAGACGCCGACTGTTCATTTTTAACATACATACCGTATTTTTCGGAGTATAATACACACTTCCCCCCCCCCCCAAAAGGGGATGAAAATTTGGGTGCATCTTATACACCGAATGTAGCACTGGCCCCCACCTTTTGGCCTGTGCCTCCCAGCAATTTACCTCCTTGCAGCAGGCAGCAAGAACAAACAGCCTGTTTCAGCTTTAGCACAGCCTAATTAGCACAAGCAGTTGATTGTAGATCAGCCTCCCGACCTTCAGCTGTTTCAGGCTGCAGGGATTGCCATTGCCTATTTCTGTCCAGGCCTCTGCTGCTTGCTGCAAGGAGGTAAATTGCTGGGAGGCAGATTTTTTTTTTCTTGTGCTAATCTTGTGCTGAAAATGAAAATGAAAGTAAAGCAGCTGTTTGCTGCAACGAGGCAAATTGCTGGGAGGCAGAGGCAGATTTCTTTTTCTTGTTTTCCTCCCCAAAAAAGGTAGATGCGTCTTATAGCCCGGAGTGTCTTATACTCTGAAAAATACGATAAGTACTGATGTTCATCAGTGGATGGGCCTTCAGTGGAATTTCATAAAGCTTTATAACAGTTGGTATCTGACTCAAAGAGTAAAAATCTTTTTGAATTTTTCAAATCAAGTGTTAGTCTAGATTTTTTTAAAAAAACTTATCACAATCTTTTAATGATGTGTTTTAAATTCGCAACTACTCTTATTTTAAAAATTTCCTCCCCCCATCTGTCAACTGTGCATTTGCAGAAATCCAAAACACCTAGTTGTAGAAACCGAGAGGTGTCAGTAAAGACTCAACATTCTAGGTTTGGTACTACATGCTCACGAAGCCAGAAATATGAACCCATGTTTAATACATTACTTAAAAGTTTTCCTACTTTCATATCTGCACCAAGTCTTTTTCAGCAATCTTAATTAGTGGAAAATCAGAAATTCTTACTAATCTCTTAGAGAGAGTACATAGAAAGTTACCAGATCCCTATCTATTTTCAGCCTATACCTGTTCTTAAATTATCCAGAATCATTCTAGCCAATCAGAAAAAATGATAATTCTAAAATACAATATATAATCATTTTAAAATCATGTGGAGTGCTTCATTTCGATAGACTAATTTATGTAGTCTCATACAGCTTCTGATACAGCGGTGCTAATGGGAAATCCTGCAATCTGGTCTGTTTTCATTCTTTACAGCCGTTTGTTCAAGAACAGCTTTAAAGCAATTAACTATACCTTTTAAAGTACGAAAGTAGTTTTATCTCCTTCCAGTGCTTTCTTAAGATAGTCAGTTTGTTAAGATTTTTCATAAGTTTGCAATTACAGTTACAAAATGGGTGAAAAATAACACATAAAGGTTTAAATTAATTCTAGATTTTATCTGTTGTATTTTAGTTATTTATAATATTTGTTATATTATTTTTTTTATATCTTTTAATAGCATAATGATGCTGTCCGTGCTGAAACACACAGAAACTCCGGTGAAGTTCTGGTTTCTGAAGAATTATTTATCGCCCACAGTTAAGGTTTGTTGTAAGAAAATAAGTTTTCTATTTTATATTCTTAAGAATTTTAGTTACATTTATTTATTTAATAATAACATATGGTTGCCCATGTTCCAAATCATAACTTAGGTGGCTCACAGCAATAGTAAAAAACAAACACACACACACACACACACACACACACACACACACACACAAAATCTCCTGGTACCCTAAACCTCAATAGACAAAATTGGGCTCCAGCCTCAGCCTGTCCCAATACTTGGGGGAAAGCCAGCTTTTTAAGCCAGCTGGTGGATCTGGAAGGGGAGAGTGTTCCTTAGAGCAGGGCCACTATTAACAAGGTGCATTTCATGGGTCTCACTTGATGAAAACATTTGAGAGAAGGTACCCGGAGTGTGCCATCCTATCCAGCCTGGTGGAATATGCAAATATACCCAGGCAGAAGCAGTTCCTCAGATAACTTGGCCCCATCCCATACAGGGCTTTAAAGCTAATAACCTGCATCTTGAATTACACTGGAAAGAAACTGTAAGTTATCTCAAGTCAACAACAGGGTTGTAATATGGACAAACAGAACTGTCCAAAATAATCACAGGCAAAGTAGTGAGCTCAACCATAAGCTACTTGCTTAAAAAGCAGAAATGCTTCTGCTTTTGCTTCAGCAGAACATTCAATCCATAGAAAACAAATTCTCTGCATTTCAAGCAACTCATCTGCTAAATCTCTTTTCTAAACTCCGAATGTCCCTGATTTCTTTTTCCTTTTCATATTCTTGTTGTTTGTATCCCAAGATCTTCAACTATTCCGTGTTCCGTATTTTCTTTCCATGGCTGTTTCTCATTTTTTCTAAACAGCCAGGTCCCCATCCATTCATTTTCCCACACTTTCCCATCTGTTCTTATTTAATCATTTCAGTTTGATAATAGGTAGTTAGAATGGTTGAGAGGTGGGAGTAAGATTTTGGATCCAGGTTATAGGAAATCCCAGCTAAAGAATGCAGCTAGTTAGAATGCAATTAGTCTGGAGACATATGTTTAATTTAGGATGTGGCTCATTTATTGCTAGAACTACAAGCATATTCCTAGCTATTTTTTTCACACAGAATATCAAATAATGTAAGAAAATGTAATTCATTATTCACTTTCCTCAAACTGGAAAATAAATTACATTTTAGAATCATTACACATTCTTGTGCCAGGAGTACATTGATAAAGGTGGAAAATGTGTCAGATTTCATACATATATTAAACAACATGCATATCTCTACCTCTACCTCTATCTCTATCTACCCTGTTTCTCCCAAAATAAGACATCCCCTGATAATAAGCCCAATCAGGCTTTTGAGCTCATGGCAATAAGGCCAAACACTTATTTCAGGGTTCAAAAAAATATAAGACAGGGTCTTATTTTCGGGGAAACATGGTTGTCTGTCTGTCTGTTCTGTCTGTCTGTCTGTCTATATCTATCTATCATCTATCTTGTAAGCAGTCTCTCAGATCTATACCTATATATACCTATATATATACTATATATACGTGAATAGCTTCCCGACAAGTTAAAAGTGGTTTCTCTACCATATTTCAAAGCAATAATGAATAGTGATGGGAAATGAAATTGCTACAGTCATTATAAGTGGAGATCAAATACTATTGTGGGAATGAGCTTAATTCTAGTGAGTTGGAAGAAAAGCTTTCTCTCTCTCTCTCTCTCTCTCTCTCTCTCTCTCTCTCTCTCTCTCTACACACACACACACACACACACACACACACACACACACACCCGTTTGGCAGCATAGATAACTAAGAATAATGTCTTTGAGAATAATACTCCGCTGGAATATCCTGTGGATATGTTCCAGTGTACTAAAACCTCTATTCCTGGTTGTTGGTGTTTTTGTTCCTAGTTTAAAATCCTCTTTGCTGGGTAGTAGAAAGGACAATACACCAATATTTCTTAATTTCATCTACTTAAAATCATTTTTCCACACAAAAGTCTTTGCTTATAAGAAATATAGGAAGGCAAGAAAATTAAACTTCATTGGTTATGAGACTTAGGCAAAATGTGAAGATTCCTGCTTTTACCCCTTGCATATTTACCATTATCTTTGAATATTTTTCATAGCCAAATATCTGGTTTTGTTAAGAATAATGTAACATGTTCTTTATGGGGTTTTTGGTAATTTGTATTAGAAGATGTTAGGACAGTAACTAATATTTTGTTCCAGGAATTCATCCCATATATGGCTAAAAAGTACAATTTCCAGTATGAGTTTGTCCAGTACAAGTGGCCACGCTGGCTTCATCAGCAAACAGAGAAGCAACGTATTATTTGGGGTTACAAAATTCTTTTTCTGGATGTGCTTTTCCCCCTCGCTGTTGATAAATTCCTTTTTGTAGATGCTGACCAGGTAAGTGGTTTTGAAGACTCAAATGTTATTTATTTTAAAAAGAATGTCTGAGGTGTCTTTTTTAGCTAGGGCACCCTACAACTTATATTTTAAATGTTAAAAATAATTTACAAACTTCACGGGTATTCATAAGTAGAAAAAATAGCTGATAAATGTAAAATCTCTTGAAAATTAAATGGGATAAAATGATTTAATAGCACAGTTAAATCTAAAGAAAGAAACTACATTTCTAATTTTTTAAAGAGAGTGTTTCACAGTTTAAATGCTAATATACAGAAGGCCTTGTCCACTGTCTTCATAAGTTATCCGCTGTTGATAGTGGGACATTCACAGGTGTATCCGAAACAGACTCCTATGAGAACTGAGATCTAGAATCCAGAATGTTTAAGGCTTTATAAGATCAGCCTCTTGGATACATGCTTGGAAACACAATGGCAGCCAGTGAAATTGGATCTAGAATCATAATTAAACAAAAGCACAAATTAGAAAGCAGTCTGGTTGCCACTTTTCACAATAACTTCAGTTTCCAAAACCTTTTTAGCATAGCTCTACATGTAACACAGCTCGTAATCTGAATGGTGTTTAAGGTATTGATTGCTATGGCTAGTTCCAAGATGAGCCACAAATAAAAGATGACCCACTATAGGGTCACCCGATCCTTCATGATTGATACCAAATGCCCAAAGCTGCAAAAACTCAATCCTGCATTAGATTATCTACTGACCAACAGTATGCTTGCCTTAAACCACTTCTGATTGATTATTGTTGGCTTCCTACATTAATGATTTACATAGCCTTCTTAATGACAAGAAAATGATGAGAGCTGACCCCAGAATTCAGGATGATTTATCTCCGGTAATGAGAGTATCTATTAGGATTCTTAGGGGAATCCTAACAAATCAGTGGGATAATATTCTCTTTAGCACCATCTTTTAGGAGATAGTGCTGAGGTAAGATCAGAATTAATCCACCAAATTCCCATATTTGGTACATGCCAAAGAATGGCACCATATTTGACATATCTAGCAAATGAATATACAGTAATCTCCCGCCTATTTCGGGAGTTGCATATCATATCCTGGACTTCTGATTGGACGTGTATTATTTTCCCCCTAAAAAACTTGGAACTTGGTTGCCTTCATTAATTCTATACTCAGAAAAGAAATACTAAAAATCAGCATATAGTTTACTGTGTGATGAACAACCTTTTTCGTCTGTACTGATCTACTGCATGATGGTCACAGGAAACTGTAATGAAAAGGAGTGGTGATATGAAAACTTCTAACTTGCAAGCAAGCTCTCAAATGATCGTAGGAGATTAAACAACAATTGCTGTCAGGCTAAACATTTTAAATGTTTGTGATCTCTAGTAAGAACTGATATGAATTCATTTCTGCTGGTGTCTGTTATTTGGGTTCACCTAAATCTATAGGCCCTCTTAATATACTTAAATAATTTAATTTAAAAAAAATTAAAGTATATTAAATTAAACCAATTGATTAAAAAATATGTACCATGCTATGAGTTCAAGATGGCTTTTGTTTTACTATTTGTAATATATAGACTACAAGTGGAGATAATGGACATGATTCCTTATTCCTCTCCTGAAGGCAGCTCCAAGGTTGCGGTCATGTAATAGTATTTTGGACGTACCCTTTCCCATAAAAGTCCATATATTTGGGGTATAGCTTTTGGGAATGGATGGAAAGGTATTGTTGCCACAGATCATGTTTATTTAAGAGGAAAGTGGATAGATTGAGATCCAAATTCCACATTTCCTATGGAATATCTAAAATTTTAAACTGAACTATTTTTTCTTTAGATTGTGCGTACAGACCTAAAGGATTTAAGAGATTTCAACTTGGATGGAGCACCTTATGGTTATACACCTTTCTGTGAAAGCCGCAGAGAGATGGATGGCTACCGATTCTGGAAGTCAGGATACTGGGCAAGCCACTTGGCTGGAAGAAAATATCATATTAGGTGATACGTTTGCACCCCAAATATTTCTGATCTATTTAGTATGAGAGTAAATAGTAAATTTATTTTGAATGTTACAAATAAATTCCAATCTGAATTTATTTTGCATTTTACTTATTTAGTGTATAATTCAGGTACAAGTGAATCTAACAGCTGTTCTTTTTTTGTTCTTAGTGCTCTTTATGTTGTAGACCTAAAAAAGTTCAGAAAGATAGCTGCTGGAGATCGACTCAGGGGACAATATCAAGGACTTAGCCAGGATCCAAATAGCCTCTCCAATCTTGATCAAGTAATTATATCTTTTATATGTATACTTCCAATCTTTTGTTCAAAATAGATGCAAATCTTACAGTAATACTGCATTTTTAGAGAGTTTTCCCTCATTCGTGGCAGATATCAGATTCCAAAAATTTGAGTTTTGCAAACACATTGCTATTCTTTGCAAAATCAACCATTAGAAACTTGTAGAATGGGCAGTCAGCTATAAAGCTTTGTGGAATACAAACATAAGAAAGGTTAAGAATAACAAATACTGAGGAATAATGTAGAAGTTAAAGAAGATAATATTTTGTGAAGAGATTCGTGAATATGCATTATGGTTACTAGTAGATGGACAAATAGGAATATGTATTAGTGGCATCTGGAGTACTGATTATAGGTCTGCAGGATAGGCATGGTAGAAAGGAGGCATTCACAAACTACCTTCCCATCCCTTCTGCCTACCTTCTGGAGTATATGGATATAGCTGAAAGCAAATGCAATCCATTTGGGTTAGTCAAGCTGGCATCCTTATTCTTGATTCAGCAGATGCCATCTGTTTTCAGGAATTTAGATGGGATGGTACAGAAAATCTCCCTTCCCTAGGACTAGGTTTTTAAACAAACGTGTTGTTTCTTGTGACAGGATGAATATGGCCAAAAACTTTGGAATGTATGGTGCAGTACAAACACAACATTAGAGTAGTGACAAAGGATTTTAATGTTAAAAATAGATCAAAATATACAGTTGGGAAATAGCATAATGGAGTCAAATTGTAGGCAGTTTAGATCTATATACAACAGGTGGCAACTATTAACCCAGAAAGAGAAAAAGAAAGTACAAGTGAATGTAAAACTTTACAGCTGAGTAAAACAGCACTGAAATTCATCCCACATATACAAAGCCAACACCAAAATTCTTTTGCTATCCTTCCCCTCCAACTTTATCTTACTGCTTTCAGTTCTCTCAGGACTTTTACCATAGGACTGAAATCCCAAACCCAGTTAAGAAATCTGCTCCTTCATTTCTTGATACTCTGGGGACTTGCAGCCAAGGCTACAGGAGAAAAATAAGCATCCATTTGTTTCTTCTGGTTAGAATCCTACCCCCTGCTACTCACTGCAAGAAGAGAAGTGCTTTATAGAGCTTTAGAATATATGAACTTCCAAAGTATAATCCCTTAATCTGCTATAGACACGCAGATGAGCCGTAGTTGCCATCTGTTAAATGCAAGGTACAATAACTCAATATAATTTAAGAACTTCTGGAACTCTTCAGTGATATGGTTGCGGATGAGGTAGGCTCAAAGGTAATTAAAGATAAATATTTTTCATTGATGCTTGGTCTTTTCTAGCATGCTCATCCTAAGGTTTTATTGTTTTAGTCTACGTATTCTATGCTCTGAGCAATACAGCTCCAGTGTATTCCTCAATATAATTGCTTGCCCCTAGGGCATATTTTGTTGTTTTTGTTTTTTAAATTTGGTCAGCAGACATTTTGTAATGTCTGTAATCCATTTGTAATGGATTAATTTTTATTTATATGCAACTGTAATACATTGAATTTTTTAAAGAAAATATGCAAAGAAAGATCACTGTAAATTTATGTTTTATAGGATTTGCCCAATAACATGATCCATCAGGTCCCCATTAAATCACTACCACAAGAATGGCTTTGGTGTGAAACTTGGTGTGATGATGCTTCAAAGAAGAGAGCAAAGACTATTGATCTGGTAAAGTTGCTTCATTATATTGTGTGTGGAGGGGGAGCTTATCTGGTGAATAGGCATTCACCAGGCCTGCCATAGAAAATCTCCAGTAGGAAGGAGTCCAGCATGTTTTTAGGCAGACTGTTCCACTGTTTCACAGCTCTTAGTTTAAGGAAGTTCCTCCTAATATTCAACCTGAATCAACTTTCTTTTAATTTCAAGCCTTTTGTCCTTGTCTCAGTTTCAATAGGGTCTGCCTTCTGTTGCATATGGCATCCTTTCAGATATTTTTATCCCCTTTAGTTTTCTTTTTTGCAAGCTAAACAACCCCCAGGTTCCTTAACTATTCCTCAAGATAGCTCTTCTGTAAACCTACACCAATATTTCCATGTTGAAGGCCGGTGCCCAGAACAGTATATCTAGTATAGTTTAGCCAGTGTAAAGTACAGTGGAACTATCTTCTATGAACTGGACACAGTGCTTCGTTATATTTGTTAAGGACTACAGTGGTTTTATTAGCTTCTGGACCATGCTGCTTATTCATGGTTAGCATCCAAAAGCATTTTTAGGTCCATCTCATATGAGCTGCTACTAAGCCAATTCTTCTTACTCCTCTTTACCAATGAATTTGTTGGCTGGTCCTTGGTGTTCTCGGAGCTTTGTTGTTTTCTTGCAAAAGTTTCATTATCCAAACCAGGTAACATTAAGGACCACTCATCATTGGCTGGTTATTTTATCATATCTAGGTTTTAAATTTGATGATACAGTAAAAAATCAAAGGTATAATTACAGTATCCTTTTGTGGATGACATTATTAGGAATTCATTTTTTTAAAAAGATAAGATTTTACAAATCTGGAAAAAATGCAGTCTATTCATTATTACTATATGTAGTAATAATGAAACTGAAAAAGAAGTGAAATGTTGATTTTTATTGCTATGTTGATAAAAGTATAATAAAAATATAGCTATTTTATTGCTATATTTATAGATTTTATTAATCATGCTCTAAAAGAGAAAAGAAGACTTACGGAAACATGATAGCTGTCTTCAGTTATCTGAAGGGCTGTCATGTAGAAGATCGGGCAGAATTATTCAGAATTATTTCAAAAGACATCAGGAAACAATGGCATTAAATTATAAGGAAGAAGATTCTGATTGGACATCAGAGAAATGATAAAGGCAACAGCTGTTCAACAGTGGGAGATATCGCCTTTGGAGATGGTAGAGTTTCCTCATTGAAGGGTCTTAGGCAGAGCCTACCTATCAGTCAGGGGTACTGCAGTAGTGAAGCCCATTACCAGACAAGTAATTGGAATAGATGATATCAAGGTCCCTTCCAACCCTGTTTGATTCTATGCTTGAATCTTAAGTTCTCAGGGAGTGTTCAGTACATTTTTCCCTTATGTGTCTCCATTGCCATTGACGCATGTGTTATATTGCAGTGTAATAATCCAATGACAAAAGAACCCAAGCTGCAGGCAGCAATGAGGATTGTCCCTGAATGGCAGGATTATGATCAAGAAATTAAACAGTTGTATAATCAATTCCATCAAGAGAAGGAGTCGGGAGTATTAATTACAACAAATGAAACGGAATCCCAAAGTCAGAAAGGTAATTATTTTTCATGGCATTCATTATTTTAAGAAATATATACAGTATTTCTCATAGAAGTCAGGAGATACATGATTGTAAGAAAGTAGAAAGGGACTAAAGCCATTGTGTCTCTATTTTTAGAGGAGATCTTAAATGTAAGCTACATACTTCAAGAACTGGTGATATGTAACTTTTTGAGTCCTTTTTAACTGAATAGGCATTAAGCTTTCACTTCAGTGAAAGTATAGAAATGGAACTTTCTTTTTCTTAATATTGTTTATGGGTAGTCCTTGCTTAATGTCCATTAATTCAGCGACTGTTATGATGGCTCTGAACAAGGGATACTTATGAGCGGTCCTTGTAGTTGTGCCCCTGCATTCACATGATCACAATTGGTGGGCTTGGCAATTAACCCAAAATTATGATGTTGCTGCATCCCACCATGACATGATCATCCTTTGTGAGCTTCATTGCTGGCTTCTGACAAGCAGAGTCAATGGTGAAGCCAGCAGGAGATTGCAAATGGTGATCAGCTGACTGCGGAAAATTTCATCAACACAGGATTTGCCTAATAACAGCAACTGGGACTGCAACAATTGCCATTGTAAATTGGAGTGGTCACAGGATGTTGTGCCCTACAAACATGCCATTTAGTAACCAAGTTCCCAGTCTCAATTACTATCAGTGTGAGGACTACCAGGAGTATTGTTC